TTTGTGCAAAAGGCTGTATATTTATATATATATAAAAATGTCTCATAATTTGTGCAAAAGGCTGTATTGATCAATCCTTCGTTATTTTGTAATTCAAAGTCAATGTAAACTATAGGTTGAACCAATGAATTCATGGAATCACTYGAAATCAATTCTGAAGTTGTCTCTTGGGCTGATGTTGCATGCAGTCCATAAATTAATCGACATGTGCCCAATKGGCTTMTCATAGTTTTCAAAATAAAACTTGATTTAAAAACTATGGTATAACGATCTGATATTTGATTTAAGGATCAAAAACCAGTGAATAAGAGTTCAAAGCGTGTAAGTGTACGCAAAAGCGCTAAAAACTGAAACTCCAAGAACTGTTTTTTTTTATTAGAAATTGGCTTATGTTAGAGCCCTCGAAAGTTCTTCGCCACAGGACGCGAGCCCTGGGTACAAAATTGATGCATGATCTCACGCTATGCATGATCATGCGACAAATAATAATAACAAAAAAAGAACAGACTGCGGAATATTAGTAATTGCTATTTTTTTGTTGTCGCCTTTTCTGTATTTTGGAAAATCACGCGTTGCCTATATTGGACTCGATTTTCCACGGGTTTTGCATCGTTTCCTGCCAGCCGTCAACGCAAATCACTCTAGATAGCAGGGAACTTTTGCGGTATTCAATAGTGTGCTAGAATGGCAGATGATTTCGCTGTCTGATKCAAGGATGGCATTCACTAGTAATGAATATATAGATATTATCTGAGACTTCTCTGCAAAGAGCACGTTTTATTAGTGGTGAAATCGAATTAACGAACTTATGCTGAATATTTATTAAAGTTTAGATAAAAGTGTTTAACTAAGTCAGTATCAAGAAGTTTGATAAGTTAGAGAAAATAATATTTGCACTCGCTCTCTGTAAAAGGTAAAAAATAGTTCGTCTGGTRGTTACTCGATCTCCTGCTCCATGATACAGTTTACATAATGTTTCATTTTCGAAAAATCAATATGTAACATAGTGATTGATCATCATTGGATCACCTTTAAATATTTTTTTCAGTGGTTGAACGTCATATAAAATCGATGTTTGCTAATCTTTATTGTGCAATTATGGTCAGCGGATAATCCGTTGAGGGGATTATATTTGTTCCCAGACCCCCGGTATGATTTAGTCCGGGCAATCATCATTCATTGATCCTAATCCYAAATTTCAAGCTTTTTTTCCTCTGAATGATTCTGTGGTTGATTTTCAAGCTAAAATTTAGTCCTCTCTAAAAAAGAAATTTAGAGGGATAGATAAAGCATGAAAAAAATCTTTGAAAAGGACGGTTCTAAAAGCAAACAAACAAAACGAACAACAACAAAAACAATAACAAAGCAAAAAAAAAAACAAAAAAAAAACAACAACAACAACAAATAAACAAAGCAAAAAAGCAGACAAGAGAACCAACTGAAATATCACTACAGAGAAGCTATTTGTAATATTTGTAGATCCTCAAAATATGTATCACTTATAACTTCCAGCTGACGATAAAAACCGACAAAGTGATAATACCACAGTTATTAGCAACATTAGCTCATGTCTCGCTCTTAAATCTTTTMAACTCCTCTCTTACACAAGTACGTAATGTAATTTAAATTTGAATAAATACAAATCAAATCGACAAACATTTCTCCAGGCAACTCACGTATCTCTAAAAACCCTGGCAAGAAATCATGAGCAGATTGAAAAGCKTGGCATTTTAAGAGRCAGTTATAAACGAGGGGTAACTGATATTTGTGTTATGGTATTTATACAATATTTTAAAATTCCAAAATTGAAGCGTACACAGGTCGGCGTGGCCATACTTGCTGTTGTAATTAGTATTAGTATCATTTTACTTTTAAGTGTATATTGCTTTTTGCGTTTACATCAAAATCGCGTTCGATACTCGTTGTCTAAAATATGAACTTTGAAMAGCGAATATATCTGAATAATAATTGTCARACGCACGTAAAACGCATGCAGATTTGAAAACACGTTAATATGCCGCGTTTATACACGGCTTGGAATGAGTTGYTGTATTCTACTTAACCTCAGTGGTGAATACYCCATTTTCGAATTCATAGMGAAAAATCGCTGCTTTATTTGACATYTCYTGCGCAAAGAMATTACGGAAAACAAAAGAAAGCACGACAAAATGCCGTTTTTAAGATAGCYTGAATATTTGAATTTTCCCCGAGTTGAGACTAACCCTGAACTCCCATAAACCTTATAATGTGAATGCAGGTTTAGCCTCAACTCRTGKAAAATACAAATAGTTARGGCTATTGTACTTASAACATTYCTTCGTGYTTGTTAAGGTCTTTGCGTATGAGAATCTGCTGTCAAATAAAACAGCAGTTATTTGCTTTGAATTCGAAAATGGAGAACTCATCATCGCTATAAAATGTWCTCAATAAATTCTAAATGTGTGCAAATGTTTTAAAACGCACGYGTGTATTTGTGTATAGGTCAAGCGCCCGTGAAATGCTGAATAATGATCAYGGTGACAGTGAAACATAAGTCAATGGCTTTTTCGCACTGATGACGCGCTCAGTCGATCTTTACTGACTTTTTTATGAGAGTTTTTTTTTCGGTAGAATTTCCCAGACATGAATCGATGATCGATCGAAACATCTTTCATATTTGTTACAATACAGTGACAAAGAAAGAATTACTGGGACTGTATCTGCAGTTTAAAGACGTATATCTTATGGCTTAGCTATTGTTATTCGAGTAAAGTATATTTTATCACTATGCTTTCGAGTTCGAGAAAGCGGAATATCCATCTTCGTGSTGCCCCGTTGTGCTGAAGAATAGGCAATCGGTTATATTTSCTCATTTAGGTGTTGAAAATTAAAAAGGGGCCAAGAGGAGATTTCTACTAAGTTCTGAAGATTCTCGCTCAATGAATACTCAATTATCATTCACTTCAATTCAATTTAAATAATAGTACCATTAGTGCGTAATTATTTACGAAAATATTTACAYTTAGTGATCGATACGTGATAATGTACAACGAACCAAAATTGATAATTACAAACTCGCAGGTTTTTTTGCGTTCCGACAAAGTTACAATTCAACATCCAGAGGCAAYCCCAGGATATTATCGTCAGCTAATCTTTAAAGAGCTTTGAACTAAAAATTCTAAGATTATATCTACAAGCAAGAGGGCTGTAACGCCTGTCGAGCTTAAGGYGGTTTACAGCACAAAGCGAACAACACTTAGAATATTTTTAGTCATATCTGAAGAGAAATATATAGATCCTTTTAGGAAAACGTACTTACAAATTTGAAAAAAAAAATGGAACGAACTATAAGTAGGAAAAAATAGGAAATGTGCCGATATTGTACATGTAGAGTGTCTCAATATTGAATAACGTTTTTTTCGCGGTTTTAGTGAAACAAATTGAGCGAGGGACCTGTGTTTTTGCACCAAAGCGAGGTAAAATCGGTGAACGACCCAAAACAAACTCTTTGAGCATGCAAATCTTTTCTATAAGGTTACGAAAATCAAGCGCGTAGCGTCCTTTACGTATATACGCACGTGCGTACTAGTGGCAAGGAAATATTAAAATTGTCGGGATTTTTTTTATATAATTGTCTTTGCTCGCAAAAATTATTAAAACTGAATTCACGTAAATTTGTTGTCTTTTATATGCTCTCGMTGCGCCTCGAAACGCCGGAAATCGCATTTCCAAGAGTTACTATTTCAGAGACCCCTTAATACTCCTGCCTTCGGCGCTCGTTAGCCCCCCAATCCAAAATATCGCGGTCGCGGTCTCTGACATGTGCGTACTAGCCAAAACGTCCACGCTACGCGCCTGAAAATGAATTCTTGTTGGCAAAAAAGTAATGATTTAAACATTGGCTTGKGTTTCTTGCTTATTTGAGGTCTACAGTAAACAATCTTTTTCCTCGCTTTKKTTATAACAACAACGAGCTCATTTTGAATCACGTGAATGCCCCTGACCTTAGATTTATATGTAGTCTGTTTTTTAATTTCCCACAGGCTATCGACCGCAATCCRCTGATACTCCTGGCTCAGAAATGAATAATTCAATRCMAAATACGGAAATCAATCCCAGTCCCACCAACATCGTGGCAGCCATATTGGTTGGTATTCTTGTCGTCCTGACACTTATCGGAAACATCTTGGTGTGCGTGAGTTTCTCACTCTTCGCTGACTTAAGGACTATTTGTAACTATTTTGTAGTGAGTTTAAGTTCTGCAGACATTCTTGTTGCTCTTGTTGCCATGCCATTTTGGTGTGGTCTGCAGATAACGAGTAACCGATGGATATTTGGGATGGAGTTACAATTGTTTTGGACATGCATGGATATTCTRTGTGGAACGGCGTCTATTATGAACYTGATGGCYGTCAGTATTGACAGACACTTTGCTATTACGATGCCATTTTTCTACGAAAACAAGATGTCTCCGAAAAAAGCTATTGTTATCATATGTCTCGTTTGGGTCTACGCCACGGTCATTTCTGCCCTACGTCTTCTCCAGTGGAATGGAAACCAGTACATGAATGTTGTCGCATTTGGCAGCTTTTTCTGTCCGCTGGTCATAATGATCRTCATGTACTTGCGGATATATTTGGTTGCTAAGAAACAAGTCAGGCGTATTGGTAGGAATTTCATGAGTGACGTCAAGGCTGCCAAGACTATTGCTGTTGTGATTGGTGCATTTGTCATATGCTGGAGTCCGTTCTTTGTCATTGTTCTTCTTTTTGCGCATAACTCGCGTTTCTTCGTCTCCATGACAACGCTCAACGTCATCAAATGGCTTGAATATCTCAATTCTTGTTTAAACCCAGTAATTTATACGTGTCTGAACCGTAGCTATCGTAGAGCGTTCCGCAAGCTTTTCATACGTGTCGTTCGTTTCCATCGACAAAGAGCCTCAAGTACGAGCAGCCAACGAACGATTCGCACAAATTCTGATTCCGCAAGCCTTACGTACGACCATAAACGGAAACGCAGAGCTAGTTCTCTTCTTGGTGAATGCATCGGGCAACGTTGATGCGTACAATAAGTGTACGCTTGTCGTTCGTTTGCGCAAGTCATATATCCGTCCAGAAACGAAACTTAAAAATTTCTTCGTATGAATTCATACATTTTTCATGCGTACTTTTCTGTCAGTTTCTGCAAAGCTTACGCAGAACTTTAAATGGAAGCGTAATASAAGTTGGCGAATGTTATACACATRCGTACGTCGTCAGCTTTCATGCAGTCATAAATCGACACGCGAAACAAGTTTTATTGCTTAAAACTTCTCACTTGACGAATGCCTTCATCACAACTGACAGTCGTGTACTCTTAATAACCATCCGTGAGGSTTTAGTAAAATCATTCGTGAGAGGAAAAAACATCAACTTCGTCATTGGTCATTTCTGGTCACTGCTGACGGACATGCTATTAAGCGARCCCTATGTTCTAGAAACAATTATTTTGGTAAATTGAGGTTGGCTRTACTGTCAGGCAAACTCAAAGCATCATACCCAACTACACGCGACTCTACACAGCGTTTGCATCAGTGCTTGTAACGGGCTTGKTATTCCTTTTCCTTGTATCATAAAAACATGTCTTGGAAATATTCCTCGAATTCTTCTTCCCTAAAATGATGTAAGATAAATGAGAAACATATCATTTATAGCAGCGAGGTTTACACACTCAATTGCAGAGTATATGAGGTACATTAGGATCACAATATTAAGATGTACATGGTGAAAACTAGCGGTTAACTAGTGTGAGCTGCGTCGGTGTTTCTTAAGAAACAGTTCTGTAAAAAAGATTAATTAAACACCGTAAAAAAGTATGCGAAATAACTTAATGACGTTTCGGACGTTAACCCTATACGTTGGATTCCTAGTCCATCTCTTCACCCCGACGAAGGATTAACGTCCGAAACGTCAGTAAGTTATTTCGCCTACTATTTTTACGGTATTAAATTTATCTTTTTACACAACTGTTTCATATTATTAAGGAGTATTTCACATTGTGAAAACCTACTCTTAACATAGAAACATAATAAAAAAGAACATATTTTCTATGTATTTATACTACATCACCCCATGCAGGAGAATGCAAGGGAATTCGGGATCCACGAAATTTGGGGGTTTTGGAATTCGGAATCCAGAATAAGGATATGAAATAGTTGAAACAGCAAAAGTATRGCAGAGTGTGTGGGACATATAGTCGATTGTCAAAAGGTTGTCGTCAACCGGGTTTCACGAAACGCGATTAGCCCGAACTGATTTCTGGGTAAAAATCAAAGACCTGGCAAATTATAGATTTGAACGCCTTTGTGATTGGAAGAACTGACACATATTGTGTGACAAAAATTTCCAGATCACGTGAGTTTAATTATGCATGCATGTGACGTTGATTTTTGCATCTCACATTGTTTTCCATCATGTCGGAGAATACAACGTTTAATGTTTGTCTTCGAGTTCATAAAAAAGAAAATAGAATCCAAAACAAATTGCCCTATCACATAATTACGTCACACCAAAAAATTCTATTGTTTTGACGCTAAGGATTATGGTCGCGAGAGGGGATCAGAGTGACTGAATATAAAATAAAATGTAGATGAGCAATCATTGATATAAATGATGTACATCAAAACTCGATACACTAAAGTTCTTCTTTCGGAAAGAATTTTAATAGGTCCAAATTTCGAGTCTTCCTGAGCATCTACCTACGATGTAAACATACCGTGACGTCATTATGCCATAGGGCAATTGACACTGTTGCGTTATGCCTAAGTGATTTGCCAGTTCAGTGATTTTGACCCAGAAACCTGTTTGGGTGGGTCGTGTGCTACAAAGTCGGGTCGAAGAAAAGCTTTTATCAATCGACTATATAAAGAGGGTTTTGACGGTGTCCAAATCAAGTTAGCCAATGATGCTCTGTTTCTCAAGTGACCACGAAACGGTCATGCGAACATCGGAATTTAAAATACACATATATGCGCCCTAGAGCAGAAGACGATTACTAAAACAATGAGCGGCGTTGTCAACCACATGGGAATTGCCGTTACAAAAAGTCATGACATTTTCTTGTCTTCAAATGATTTTATCTTTGAATATGAAGAGAAACAGTTCCTTTACGGAAATGTCGGCCAGCCAATCAGATATGGCGAAAACCCATGCAATAGAGACGGTGTGAAAGTGCCAATGGAACAGGCCCTTGGGTTTCTGTTCTTATCGAATTACTATTTTTGTTTGCGGTAATAAGGCAATTAGGATGATAATGCCACAATATAACAATAATAACAGCAATAACAGCAGCGAGAACAACAGCGAAAGTACCAACAAATTCCATAACAGCCACAACAACAACATCAACAACAAAATATGTACCTGGTTTTATCAACCAAAACCTTGGCAGGTCCTTTCCAAATCTCTTCATCCTTACTTGTACTAGGCTTAGGATCATCGGGTACTAAAACCAGAATTGAAGCAAAGAAAATAAAAAATCTCCCGAGAACGTGCAGTTATTATTCAACAACAAAATTTTATAAAGCAAAGGGTTCCATGACTATCCATAACTATTCACTAAAGAGAGTGGAGGACATTTTGTTATTGAGTTCTAACATCATGTTTATTTAGAAACATGATGTTGAAACACAAGGCGTCATAAAAAGGATTTCTGTAACTAAGCAAAAAACATGACCGCACCGTATCGTGACCGTACCGTGACCGTACCGTGACCGTACTGTCGTGACCGAACCGCGCCGTGACGTGAGAGTGATGTATTCTTTTGTATCCTTACTTTCTTTTGGAATCCCCAGGCAAGCTTCCGTGTGACAAAACCATAATTGAAGTGAATCAGATCCGTACCGTTACAAAATCATACGAAAGTCGATGTGTGATAAATATAAATTACATTTGTAACGTACTCTCTAGTACGGTGGATTCCTCGAGAATATAAAAATATTTAGGATGTAGGTATCCTGGGTATGATTCTGGACCTCTAAAACGCCCATTCTAAAAACAAACAATAYGCCAATAATATACTCACGCGTGTTTTTTGGGTGTCGTCTTTTGCTCTCAGTGATTTCTTCTTCGGAACTGGACGACTCGCTGTCATGGCTGCTGTCTTCATGCTTCCGTTTTCTCTTTKTCTTTCTCTTCTCGCTCTTCTGTTTTCGTTTTTCTTCTTTCTTCTTCTGTTTTGCTAATTTTTTCCTACATTGGAAAATCAAAATCAATTCACTATACGACTAATTGCAAAGAACGTTTTCTTTTTTGTTTTCTTTTGTGTATATTTGTTTCTCGGGATTTTAAGATTCTTTCTACAATTTAGCGCTATTTTTTATTACTAAAGTCTTTAATGGTTTTAATCTGAAACGTAAGTTTTCCAAAGTCAACTAATAATATAATTCATATTTAAAACGAATTCTGTACTATCGAAATATTTTATCCTTCTTGAAATTTTCCACAACTAATATAGAAATAAAGGAAAGCTATAATGCTTAGAAGGAGGCAATTCCGGAATAAAGACCCTTGAAAATAAATTCGAAAAAACTTGATTTCCGACCTCGCTTGGATTCGAACCCACGACCTTCGGATTTGTCATGACCCTTGGATTTGTACTACCGATTCTCTACCAGCAGAGCTACAAGGTCAGATTTTAAAGTTTTCACTTACTTGTGGTGATAATTCAGCTTGAAAGAACAATCTGGACAGAGCCCTAATTAGAAAACACGACATCATTACATGACAAATCGTTTATTGACTACCAGCTTTTTTATATCTCAGAGAGGGAAGCTGGATACGAATTTATAAACTGCCAAAAACAAAGATTACATCGCCGTAGCTACGATCAGGCAAGCGAGGCACTTCGGTNTACCTATTGTAGCTGATATACTACTTTTTTAGCTTCCTATATACGAAATATTCACTGTAATTGTTGCTGTTGTTTTTTTTGTTTCACTGCTTATTTTATCGATAACTAATAACAGTTCTTGTTTTCTCTATATTAATGCATATGGTTCAAAAGATTATATCAAAATCAATATGCGAACAGAGCAAGCACACTGAACAATGTTATCAAAATTAGCTCTCAAATGTGAAACCTGCATTCATCGACAATTAGACAAGCTATAGTATTCATCCCTTACGGCGATGCTTTTTTGACACAAATGATGTGTCGTATACGGTTAGACATGCCTCTCATTTATACTCTTTTAATTTTGGCTGAATAAGTAATAATAACAAGCAAAAGAGCCTTAAACTGAGAGAGCCGAGAAAATAATTTTGGAAGAAAACAAATTGTGCTTATAAGCTACAATATATGTATGTAACTATACTTTTTGATATGAAAAAATGTTTTTTGTTTTAACGAGAACTTAATAAAAGGCCTTTTGACATTGCATAATGCACGGAGGCTTCAAATTATGTTAACATAAATTTTGCTTCACATCATTTAGTATACAAATTGACAGGGTGTTATTTGCGTCTTCTAATAAAAAACATTTGCCACAAAAAAGGCATTAAATTCACTTCTGCGCTTGTATGAGTCTATTAAGAAACAATGTTATATCTTGAACGAGATCACTGAACTCTCTTTTACCGTCATTGCCAAAAATGTGTGGCCATTATGGGCTAACTAACCAATTCTTTCCTTCTAGGCTAAGTATGTAATATTCTTAACCCAATCAATAGGCTATCATGGCGCCAAAATCGTCAGATGTGTTTGATGGGCGAGTAAGCCTTCTAATACGCAAGTCCGTAAATTGACAGCATTCAATTACTAGAATTATCGATGGAAATACTGCTGTAAGTTCTCAAAGTTTGATTTCACCGTTTTTGGAGATCTATCCCAAGTGTAAGCAAATATGACGTCATTATTGGCATATGGCAACTGTCAGTCTACAATAAACCACAAAAGATGGTTTTAATTTGTGTATAATGTCAATGCTTCAAGTTAATTTTCAAATTAAGGAACTGTCGAAACAATAAACAGCTAGTTGTTAACTGCACATAATTGGACGGGTTCATGTTTAAAGATATATTCACCTATGCTCAGTTGCACCACACTGAGAAAGCCAAAAAATGTAAGTTTTCCATTTTATTTTTCTATAGGTAACTGCCTATATTTATATTTTCATTAATAACATTCATTGTTTCAAATATAAGTTCAGAGTCGGAAAAATTCGAGAAAGAAAAGTTTAGAGAGATGACTTCAATTGTACGATCCAAAGACCTTTTGAGTTTTGCCGGGTAATAGTTGAGTATCGCGATAGTAGTAAGCAAAGCACCGCTCGACCCCCGAAAATAGGTGGTAGGTGGTAGGTGGGTATGCTAATGAGTCAAAAGTGATAGGGGAGGGCTGCTCAAAACGAGTAGGTGGTATAAATTATTTTAGTAGGTGGGTAACAACAACAAACTTTATTCGCATGACTTGCCTTATTTACAAGTATTGCTAAAGTTATTAAAATAATAATATAAGATAAATGATTTCAATAATCATAATTTCAATTAAAAAAAACATCGTCATAGAAATAAATAAATAA